CAGTTATTTCAAGTTTTAGTAATCACAACAATACCATCAATACTCATTTCGACATGAACTAAGAACAAGTATCCTATCTTAAATTCCGAAGCCTTTCTAAATTTTTGATTAGCAGAATACAAAATAAAGAAACAACAATAACGGTGTATGCTGTGAATTCCACAATTCATAATCTCAAACAGACTTGAAGTACAGTATACAAGAAGGTTTTCTGGAATTTTTAAAGTGTGGAAAATTCTCTGCTAAATTCTTAATCCATCCCTAACATTAATTCTGAACGTCGATATCTCAACACCGATCGTGTTTGCCAATAATATTCAGTCAAGGACTAAAAACATACAATTTTTGCTTCCAACAAAACAATCGACCGAGACCTTCATGAGAAAAAAGGCGCATGACGTAAAGCGCACGAAACATTTTTAACTTCCGTCATTATTCTAAGCGTATCGATTAAATTTCATGGTTGCTCTCGCTTTTTCGGGTGGAGGATGGAATGGAAAACTAAACACGAAACACCATCCATTACCCAAAGGAAAGTGATCACTGCAGATGCCGTTGTCCACGTATCAACAGCTGCCGAGAATCATGTACGCTTGCTAGGACGTACTTCCCGTGCCGTACAAGAAACCATTGAAACTTCAATTATTATTCAAATCCGTACCGCATCCCGCATCACTGTCGGCAGTTTTGTCCACGACAATGAACGATATTTACGCATCATAAAGTTTACCGACATCCATCGGCTTACGTAGGAATAACTGGACGCATAAATCATATCAATTTTGTTGGATCGGTGTTTCAACTTTTCAAAAACTGCGGTCCGAAATACCTCGTATATATATTTCCAAGTATACTAGGTGTTTCGTATATTTTGGTTTCGTGCGGATTATATATCCGAGCGAAGCTGGCGTAGTAATTAAGAATCGTCAGCAAGCAAAACATAAATACGTGAACAATAGTCACAGGGGTACAAACTAAAGAATCTCAATTTTATATGGCAGCAGCATCGTTCGAAATACATGCACGTCCCAAAATTTAATGACCGGGCTGAATTTTGATTTTCTGCGCTGTTGTATCGGCACGAGGGTGCGTAACTGTTTGTGAGAACATGATTCGGGTCCACTAGCACTCGAGAGCCACAACTCATGTGTTAATTCTTGTACTCCGCAATCTGCAATAGGTTTAACCATACAGCAAATTCATGTGTTATCAGTCACTTCCACCAAATGCTATAATACTCAGAAGAAAAACGCGGAAAAGAGAAAGCCGATCTGGGCAATCCTTATCCGGTAAATAGTGTTTCCGGTAAGGTCCTCAGTGCTAGGAACTGTCTTTGATCAGCTCCACACCATCCGCTGCCTTTAAAGAAATTGGATGCGCTTTCTTTCCAATCCTGTCCGCGCACTGGTCCTAAATTCAGCTGCTACCGCACGATTCAGTGGATTTTTCGTGTCAACAAGGTTAGTTAGGATATCTTAGCTTAAGCCTCTCCACACGATCGCAGCGGAAGCGAGCGGAGGTAATTTACGCATATTGTTGCCGCGATCCCTTTCCCCCAGGCCAGCCGCGAGCGGCTGGCACGCAATTATTCAGGATGCGCAGCTTAATAACACTGGAGCAAAACAGGGACTAATTAAATCACCAGCAACAAAGATTTGGTCGCAGTCTTTGTGCGTCTGCGATGTACACTTTACAGTTAACTTTTTCTGACCCTATATGCAAATCCGTAATTATTGCCCATTCTAAAATTACAGGAGAAAAACCACACAGAAACTTCAAAATGCAGACTAAAAAGAATAACACGAGATTTAGTTATGACTTATGAGTAACAAACCAGATTTCACGGAAACATCGGTAGCCACTTTTGCCACCTTTGCCCTTAAAAACGGAACTTGGTAATGCCGTTTTGCATTACAGAGCACAATCGCTATAATTTTGCAAAGGTTTAGTTTTGTAAACAGAAATATTCCAATCACCTCGGCCGTGCTTCTACTATAATTTGCAAGTGCCGAATATTTCTGCAAGAGTCATTTCTGTTTTCTAGTAGCATCTTTCATCACTCTTCACAGTCTTCAGTAAAGAAGGCTGGCTAGAACGAAATTGTGAACCACCAAATAATAGGGAACAATCAAGCGGAAAAGTATCATTACACCAAAGAGCAGCGTCGAAGACAAAATCTGTGATGATGAAATTTTATTTAGCAGATCAGATAGCACGGACACTGACACATTCATTGCCGATTTGTGCTCTACTGGAAAAACAGTCTTGCCAACCATGTCAGAAAGAGAAAACGGTCCTTTAACAACCAGAATATTAATGGCTCTCGGTGGCGCGCGCAAATCTCCCGCCAGCGCCTATCAATCGCCAAGGACAATACAATCACATTCCCAGATTTCCTAATGAACGAAGAATACCGACCTCCTGCAGCGCCACGCTAATCGCATCAAGAAAAAATGGCTCACCATCACATCTATCATCAAACCCAGAACAGTCCAGTTAAACCCGAACCCATGCAAAGGCGTAATTACCGCCTTAGAAAAAAATCGTACTAAAAATAATCACAGCTCATTCGCCTGTAATCGGATCAACTAATCCGATCGTGCATTGCAATACCAGTATATGATTACGACCAAATCGCGTCGCCTTAAAGACGAATAAATCCGCGTCAAATCAAGGTTTGTCAACTTTTAAAAGAGCGAAAAATCTATAAGGCGGTAAAACAGAACTTCATATAGATAACAAAGAGGCACACATTTGATTTTTAATAATCAAGCTGTCCGTTTCGTTGTCTTGGTGCCTCTATGTATTACTAAACCCATTCTTAGCTTTGATGTCTAGAATGTCGATATTCTCATAATAATATATTTGCATACGATTAAGAATTCTTAATTTCAACCTTGCTAGACCTAAGTGTCCCTCTTGCTACGGAAAAAAACTTTTCAACTACGTCATCGACTTATTGATTACTGTCATAACCGAAAAGAAAATCAGCGGCAATTTATTTGCCCAAGCCACGAGTGATTTATCGATACATCTACACAGTCCGGGGCACTCTTCCATATACATACAACAAATTCTACAGGCGCTGAGAAAAGCGCACCGGAAGCGATATCCATTGTTGGCGTCAGTCAGGCGACTGGCACGCCGTATTTATTACTCTGTAATATTAGATGGAGCGCCGTAAAACTAACGCTAACATACGGCCAAGTTCGCTGGGGTCTTATGCCCATTTTAAATATGCCAATATGTAGACACATTCCCCGCGACCAGTCCTGATCCGATTTCCCCGGGACTGATCGGGGCAAAGCGCCCGGCAGTCCGCAAATCGCCAAATGCAATTGCACCGGTTACGCAACGCACTCTCTCTCCTGTTCTCCACAACGCCTATATCCCCCGCTGGCAATGCCAAGCAAGGATTACACACGCCCGCATTTTGTGTATTTCCAGCCAACCCGGGTCGGAACGTGAGCCCGCTAACCGGTTTGGGCTTTTCATTATCCGTTCTGGTGCCTGCATGAGAATTTATTACAATTCACATTTGTGGCTCCCCTATAGCGCCGCACATTGGTTGGGTCCATGTGAGCAATTAAAGCGTCGGTGACACAAATAAACACCAGCGTAATAAGGCCGTGCTTATCATCGACCATGGACCATAACGATAAAAATGATATTATCAGGAACGAGCGAGAGAACGACCACCCCGTATCAGACTAGAGGATGGTAGCAATGTCGGGAATACGGTGCAAAATGTGTCAGTTCCGCCGAGAATACAAACTCTGCCGCCATTTCGTTTTTTTACAGATTCAGCAAAATTAAAATTCACAACTAAAGTTATTAAATATTAAGAAAACCCCAAACTCATGCCTCGCATTAGCTGCATCATATGCGATATATATTGAGATTAAAATCATCCACATATCCTTTTAGCTTGCATTCAGAAACCGGTGATATTTAGCAGTGATATTCTGAAAGATTTTCGGTACGAGTATTGTAACTTATAAACGAGAATCTGCAACTTCAGCATGTGTACGAGTAGGGCATTATCCATTCATAGCGATTAAAAACGGCATTCCAACAGGCAAACATGCACGGTGATTTACTCAAAATTCGAATGGCTGACTAACAAAATGGTGTACTAGAAGTAGTGCTAATAATTAAGCTACTGTGAGATACACAGTTTTGAGTCGTTTTTAGTTGGATGAAGAAAATTCAAATAATGCTGTCCAACAGCAAAAATACCCGCATTAATTTTAATTTTATAGCTAATCAGAAATTATTTAATAATTCAAGCGAAACAACATTATGAAATTTGTAGTTTAACAAGTATATATTCCAATGCTGCCACAAAACAATCTTAAAAAAGATGTTTTCTAAATCGTAAACGGCTGAACAGTATAAAAATTCACGCCTGCAAGAATAATAAATTTTCCATGTAAAATGACGCTTCGGGGCATCGACAAGTCGCTCTCAAAAGAAGCAATTTTCCTCCATTAAGAAATCTAGTCCGGGAGATGAAACACGTCCAAATCAGAAGTTAATTACTGTCGACAGCCATTTGTATGCAGCGATATTATTGTCCCACTTGAAAACGACGCAGTTTTGCATGCATCATTCATTCTGTTAGACAAAAAATTGCGGATCAGAAATGGGACATATTTCCCCATCACAGCCAGCGCACAAGGCCGAGTAAAAGGCTAATTTCCTCCGGGAGAAGCCAGAAGAAGCAAAAACGGGACAAGTTAATGGCATGGAACTATTCCAACCGACGTCAATAAAGTAGAGGCCCCCACTAAATTATTCACTACTCTTTCACACTCTAATCCACACTGCTCCCACCGCAGACAATTCCCATGTAATCCTAATTTCAGCCCCAATATCGCTTGATACATACATACACTATACAGTGCACACTTTTCAACTTTTTGCACCAGCAAGAATCGATCAGTGAAGCACAAGTTGAATTATATAGCGTATAGCGACATTTGCTGATGTTCACTTACCATTTTCAGCTGGATCGCCTTTCTTAACGGATCCCGCGTTGCCCATATTGTTGCAAATGTCCAGACAACTTCCCGCTTAGACAACCGCCTCAACCGTCGTGCATAAAAGGATCTCCAGACGCCGAGCTGCAGGGAAAAAGTTGCAAGTGTGCACGAACCGTTTAAATCACGTGGGTGGGCTATGGTATGTTGTCACATTAAGATGGGTCCGGTCAGGTCCCTGTAGTGGCCCAGCGCTGTGTAGGCAGAGTTGATACAGAGAAACAGCGGTGGCAGTACGGCCGTCGCTGTGCGGTAATGGATATGGTGCGGAAGACAAGGTTTATTTATTCCGATACACGAGATTAGCCAGGTCCAGAGGCAATTTACCGGAGAACCCCTACAAGTATTTTTGGGCCGAAGTTAGAACGGAAACTGGATCAGTGGTGATGGGAAGGGTGCGATGCGCGCGCGCTCAATAACAAACACAAGAGAGAAATCGGGGAATATGCGCTGCCGCTGCCGACGGATGCTGGAGCAGCCGCACACAGGCTTGACACTCCTCTCGTGTGTTGAGCGGTATGGTGCAAGTTTGCAAACCACCGGGATACAGCAGCCGGATGTCTATGGCCGTATACGTACACGGTATGTACAGACCGCGGTGTACAGTCTATAACTCACACCGACCTTCGATTGCGCCGGTCCGGGCGGGGATGATGGATCTGCAGGCAAATGTTACTGCTATAGGGTGCACACTGCTTGGAAAGTTTGTGCAAGTTTGGCTCTTGTCAGGCAACTATCTGGCTAGTTAAAGTTTGTCATGAAGAGCCAACACGAACGATGAATGATATCCGTAGTTCCGGCTTGATGCTAGGTTGCGTCGTTGCGATTTGCTGCATGTGTTGCCGGAGTGAATTACCCTATAGCCGTGCACAGTTCTGCCCGAGAGTGAAAAAGAATGGAAGTGTATCGTGTTCGCAACTTCTCGCAGAACCACCATCGTACTGCGAAGGTGCCTTATATTGCGGTACTAACGTTAACGATGTGCTGGCGGGTTTTCAATTGGTTGTTTAACTTCATTTGTGGCGGTGCGACTCCGATGATAATTTTTGTTGCCAAAGCGGAAACACAGACTCAACCGAGTGCCCTGCGCAGCAGTTGCAAGTTAAATTAATTATTATGTCCTACGGACTGCGGTAGCAGTTGCGTAGTCCGGTAGACGCAGTTGCGTAGACGGTAACTTCCTAGTACCTACACTACGTAGAGTAGTGATTACTGTTATCAGATATCTACTGTATATAATATACTCCTATGCCTAATTTTGTAAGTACAATATTCTGTAACTAGTTGCCCTTAAACGGATTAATTTTACGAAAGTGGTTTGCGCCCCAAAATTTTAGGGCGCACAGAAGTGACCTCAACTTGCTATTATTGTTAAATATTGTCTTTTTAGCACATACGGATAGGCAATAAATACATAAAATTAATGTGACTAGTTGTTTGTTGAATAATCCTATTAAGTAAATTATTACGTACCGGTACACGACAGTCGCTCGTGCGGTTTCACAATCTCGTCCGAAAATTATCAAATATTCAATATATAGTTTCAGCACGGTGTACCGTGTACCCCGTGGTTTCAGTTACATACTTCCAGAATTGAGAATTCAGGTTTAAGTTTATAAACTGCCTCGCCCACGCGAACAAAGTGAGCACTTTCAGTGCTAATTTTGTACGTATGCCATCTATATTCTGATACATAATACGTATAAGAATATGAATATATGGCTTACGAGTATAGTATGAGTTTTACGCTATAATAATATTCACGTCCATTTTGCAACCGTCTTCTCACTACTATACTATAGCTCCTAGCCTGTAAAAATAATGTACGCCGAAAGGACGGGAACAGTACTCGACCAGTAGGGGCTCCAACACTTTACTTTTCCTTATGGTTAGTTTGGAGGGCATTCGCGATCGGCTTTTACAAGGTTGCGCATACAAAAAAAACTCAAATTATTGCTGCATAAAATAGATGAACATAATTTTTTATCGTATATATAGTACACACTACACAGTTCAACCCTTTATGTTGAAAGATATTGCAATGACATAGAGTAGACTTTTAGAAAGTACAGACCCTGTACGATATTACAATTACTGCAAAATTAATGTATCGCTTTTGTACTGTGAAGGGAATCGTCCCTCCCTTTGCAGTTGTATGATACGCCGTTACGTATGTTCCCGTATCTCTGTTTCCGCCCCTTATTTGGGAGTATATATAGCGATGATGTGCACGAGTTTCATCAGAGTGTTAGTGTTTCAGTTCTGGTCGAGTATTAAAGTTGTTTGCCGAGTATTATATTTTCCCCTGCCGTTCCTCGCCACAGTACTCGTATTATCTTTTCGGAATATAACATATATTTTTGTGTGTCAGCCTTTATTGTCCTGTGGTTGGTACAATTCAGTTGACAACAAGGCATTAACATTTTGGCGTCGCAGTGTTACCTCTCGATATAAATTATCACCCGTGTTCTATAAGGATAAAGACCACCGATAACCGAAGGATATCTTCCGAAGGAACGCAAAGTTGCTTCGGAATGGTTTATCTTTAGGCAATCTAGTTTTGAAAAATCTACGCGCCACGGAAAAGAGCATCGGGAACGTGCTGGAATAATATGCATGCTGTACTTTAATATCAACTTGTTTCAGTTGGAGACCTTAGCTTGCTTTAGGACAATTTGTCTAGTGCGCATGCACAACGAGTAAGAATTACAGTATATATACCGCTCGTTTAGAAACTGAACCATTGTTGGTGACCTTTACGGCTTGTAGGCTTATGGAAGACCTGCAGTATTAATATGGTTTTCCGCATTATCCGAAACCAAATCAATACTTCAAAGCCCAAAATCAACTGCGTTGAGCGTATATATTGTAGCTTTGTAGTTTGTCCTGTTATAATTATCTTTACATACTTTTGTTTATTCATACGAGTGCATCTATGGACGTATAACTAGTCCTGGTGTGTGATGGGATAATTGTGTTTCTCTCCCTGATTAAAACTATATGTACATACTCGCAGAAACTGCGTATTTATATGTAGGCGTCTCCCTTGTCCCTTGCAGCAAATTTCAGGTTAATTGATTTCACAATAACTCGCAAATGCTGCGGACGATTTTGTTTTAATTAATGTGCGTTTCGGCACAACTTATACGCATTGGTAGGAATCGTGCCTTTTTTGCGCAAATCATTGGAAATTTGGTCAGTCCAAGATTTTTTGTTATCGCTGAAGGGAACGGCTATTGCTTTGGTGCAGATACAGTTGTGCGAAAAAGCGAATGAAATCAGAATGACCACAGCAGTTAAGTGATTAACAATACCAGAAATTACACGAATTTCTGCTGTATTCTCTGAACGGTTTTAGACTGGAGCAGCTCTGATCAGCTGTGTGCTGGTGTTCGCCGAATTAGCTGGTGATAGCCAGGGACAATGTGGAAGCTGCTTACAAGTAAACAGCACCAACAACTCTTCTGCATAGACAACTGATAATTAAGTTATTGTGAATTTAGTGAATTTTATAATATCGGATCAGATTATATGTAGGGCTGCTTGGGAAAAATTTGAAACGAACACATGCAGTTTAATAGTCCGATATGTTTGCTTAAATTAGGTTTACGATTTTACTGGCAAGTCTAAGATCATGACGAACGGATTTCGCTAAACGCAAAACACAATGAGCGTATACGTAAGCCAATCGGAGTGCTCTTTTATTACTGACTGTCCGCGTCGAATTTCTTTTTTTCTAATTTTAGCACTTTCGCTTTTCATGGGTTATCTTTGTAAATCATGAAAGCAATCCCTTAAAAGCTGTCCTGTGTTACATGTACAGATAGTATATACGTACTCCTATCTGCAGCTGACTTTCCTTTTGCGCTATGATACAATATGCTGCAGCATTAACGTCACATCTGTAATAATAATTTTTACATTGCTGGTCTCAGCATCATTAAGCATAATGATCGTATATCATTAAGCTAATCCATTCAAAACTCCCAGTGGTGAAAATCGTACTTTGTACTAGTACTTCTGGATGCGGTTTCGGTCTCAGGTTGCACTCTAACAGAACTGCAATGCAACCTGAGGTCATAAATTCAAATAGATGCAGCTAAAAGATTGTAGCAAACACATATTATTAAGCGTTGTGCTCCGTTTTCAAATAACAAATTACGTACTTAGCTGAGCAAAGAAGTAAGCGACGACAGAAAGAGCAAACAAACAAAAACACACCCAACGCATACAGTACTATTTGATGCCAGACGTTATTCACTACGTAGATCAACTTGCATTACAGATAGATACTAACCTATTGGCCACCGCGGCCAGGCCCGTCGCGAGACCTCTGTGCAATCTTCAATTTTCAAAAAAAGTCCTCCTAGAGTTTTCATCGGAAAATTTTTCTGACTGCACCATTGGATTCGCCGTGAAATTCTGAACAAAATGGTTGAGGCCGATTTTTGAAATTCGCATTTCCCCCAGACCGGCGACCGCATTGGCAACCGCATTAGCGACCGCATTGGCGACCGCCCCTAGTAACGGCCTGGGGGAAATGCGAATTTCAAAAATCGGTCTCAACTATTTTGTTCAAAATTTCACGGCGAATCCAATGGTGCATTCAGAAAAATTTTTCGATGAAAACTCTAAGAGGAGTTTTTTTTTGAAAATTGCACAGGGCCGGGTCTCGCGACGGACCTGACCACCGCTATGCTGTCCAACACCTTGGTTTGCTTAAAAACGTTAATTAAAGATTTTCGCGTACGGGTGGTATTAAAATAATCGTTGTCACTGCTATGAGCCCCAGCAAACCGGCGCAGTTAAACCCCATCTTGTAATATTATAACATACGAAATTACAAATGAAAATGATTAGTTGCTGCGCGTTATAACACAGCATGGATAATGTAAAATACATCTTCTAGTCTTGTCAACAGGCTAGATAAAAGTGGTATGTAATGGCTTATCCACTGTATAGTTACTGTTAGCGTGATTTATCCGCGCTCACAGTTTTTGTTTGCGTTTGCCAACTCTGCAAAAACCAGTAACGTGCTTACCAAAGCAGCTGCGACCTACAAACAAAGATTTCATCCTAGAAAGTAGCCAGATTAACATTCAAGGCCATGCAGAATGGATACTTTTAGTGCTAGAAATCGGTTTTCATTCAAAAGCATGCATGGTCAGTTCATATATGACGTACAGTATTCACAGTATTTACCGTACTACCGTACCTGGAATGCGCACGCCCGTGTAATTTCTACGCTGGCTAAAGTAAAACACGGTGCACCGGGTTTTTCTCGAAGACTGATCGCTATCCAGACACTTTTTGTCCAGTCCGAAAACCTCCCAACATTCCGGCATGCTTTGGAAACACATGTATGGCGCTGACCCTAGTATGACACTGCCACGTTGCGCTTAATTTACCAGTAACGAGTGTACTTACGAAGGTGTACGAAGGTGTTATATCCGTTTTATTCTAGCACTAGTTTAGCACTATTCTAGCACTAGCATTTTCACTAGCACTAGTTTTATTCTAGCACTAATTTTGGTTTAGTCAAGCAAACCAAAAATCGGAATCAATGCCGAGCATTTATAATTATCGGTAACTGAATAAATTTGCGCGTGAAGTCGTTCCTAAAATTAGTTACGGATCGAATTCGTACCTGTTCGTTGGAATATGCGCAGACTGAGGTCAAGAAACAGAGAACAAAAATATTTGTTGCCATAACGTTAACAGGCCTGTTAACGTCATTTTCTGCGCTAAGGTCGAATGTTGAATTTATCGTATTAGCTAAAGCAGCACAAAATCTGATGCCAGCGACGATCGACAAGCATCGGTCCAGTTCTTTCACAAGATTGGTTAGTTCCAGTTGCTGCAAATAGCTGTCAACAGGAACAATCCCATCCTTGACTAACAACTGCGAATAAAGGTCACGCGTAGTTCGACGCAGTATCGCGCTCGCTATCAGCATTATGAAAACCAGAAAACCCAATAAGACGTCCCTTCCAACAATAGCAATGCGATGAAATCCGTAAGCGATATGAGTAACGAATTCCGCATCGTACATTGTAAAAGTTGGAAAAGTGAGATTTCTCATTTCATTAAGGTATTCTGCGTTAGCCAGATAGGATTGCTCTTGGTAGTGGGCATAAGCGTTCTTTACTGCCATAGCAAAATTGTAAATTATCATAGTGGTAACAGTTATCCAGCGATCCCGTTGCGTTAGCAAGTTCCCATAATGAGCGTCAAACGTTTGCATCAGTTCAAGGATGTTTTTGCTCGACGACCACATCAACAGCATGCAAACCAAGTTGAAAATCGGATCAGCGGCATCGATCAGATGCATGACCATCAGTGTGAACCTATTCGAAAACCGTAATGTATAGCCACCGGTGTTATAGGATTGGACGTTGATATACAGCCAAATGGCGGTGGCGCAAGCAATAAGTGAAACATAAATGCACATAACGTGGCAAGTGAAAGCAGCCCACTTAGGACAATTTTTTAAGGGATGGAGGAAATAGCCAAATATCTGCAGCAGGATCACCCACACCATGGTGACCTTCCAAATAAAACCATCGTTCCCTTTTGATTTATGCATCCCGCGCAGGTTGACTGTCAATAACTAAATTGTTACTCGAACTGGCGTTGCAAACTTGACAAAATTATCGATCGGTCTTTTGCAGAATACATAACGTTGTCATTGTAAGATGCATCAAAAGCCATACTTCTATTTGAATGTGTCGTTGCCTTTGTTTACAGCATATTTTAAGTTTTTAACGAAGCAACCATTAATTACGTTGAAGAAACCCGTAGCAGGTATATCAAATGGGGTAGAAAGTGTTGGACGGTATACAGTTACATACGGATCTGCAGTTAGGGTTGTCATCACGTCATCACACGCTATCACAATCACGCCGATTTCCTGTTCCCAATCCCATCATGCCAAAAAACTGTGGCCGTGATAATGTGATGGGATGAATGATGGGATTGGTAAGTGATGGGATGATTTCCATTGCCCAGAAATGTGTGTTTTTGTGCCAAAATTACCTGTGCGTCGGTTATGCTGCATAACTTTTGTGCGCTACAAATTTTTCTTCCTTATAATTAAGGCTAGCGCTGCTTGGGGGAAAATTTATAGGCAAGACCTTTAGCATTTTGGACATTACTGTACGCTTCGCCGCTTCCACCACCGTCCATTTGATTTGGTTGACAATGCATTTTCACTTGTGATAACTTATAAGTGTTTTTACAACATTTTTACTTTATGAAAACAGCAAAATAAGTTTTATTTCAAAATATAATCGAAGTAACTATTTTGTCGCAGTGTTTGCGGCAAAATAGCCTTAGCCAAATATAATTCATTAAAACTAATTTTATTTTCGTCCCACCAATCCCACCATTCCCATCACTTCACGTTCACATTCCCATTACATCACACCTCAAAAATCAGGGTGGGATGACAACCCTATGACTGCAGTTGAGTACAATCATAAACTTTTTGAAGTTCCAAATGCCCAAAGGAACCGCTAGATACTGTGCAGGCGCAACTTGAGGCTGAGACCACACACACCAAACACTGCAATCATCGTGGACTGCTAATGGATTACCTGCTTAACATGCGATCATCCAATCGATGGAGTAAGCAAATCCACCATTTGAAAATGCGAAGTAGAGTACTAACGCAGCTCAACTAAAGTACAATATATTTAATGTTTACAAACGCTTTTATACATTATATCATTTATATTAGTATGTATGGAAATTACACGGTGTTTAATTAAGACAAACATCAGGGATCTACAGTATACAAAGGATAGTGTAGTCGCTCTTGTACGCACGCACCAGTATAATACATACCGCCTCGTGCCGGCTAAGAAAGTGTGCTACAAAATTAATGAATGATTAATGTAGTTAATCATAGATAATTGTGGGCTAATATCCATCCCATTTCTTGTTTATGGTTGTTCGTCAGCTTTCATTGGTTGCTTTGTTTGTTGAGAGATTGAGATTCTGAGCGGTTTCTGCGCTGCTGAAGTGTTGGTGTGTTCAGTTGAAATCATTTCTGTAGTTTGGCAGTGAATTTTTCTGAAATTTTGGCTTATCATGCAAACTGATTGGTATAGTTATTCCTCACAGCAAAACCACTGTTTCAGCCGGTTACGCGGCCGGTATTTGAATGACCTTTTCTTAGCTGCTTGTTTAGGTTACGATAAATCGTTTGATCATCCTGTTTTTGTAATAATAGTCAGTGAACAATTAATAAAGTAAGTAGCGATACAAGGTAGAGAACCAGCGTAGCGTCGATCGATGTGCCAAATGAGTTTTAAACATAGGTGTCCTCCAGTGTTTTTGGGCTCTCACAATCATCGCCGACCAGGTCGTTTTCCGTTTTCACCACATTGGTATTAATGACAGCGTTCCTTGGGTTTGGATGTGCTGTTGCCGTTTCGCGAAGCGCACACATCTAGATAGCTATGACAATTCCGAAATCCACCGCGAAACGCACCGTAGCATTGCTTGCACTGATAGCACAATACAGCATCCCCAGAACATCCGATCACCACGGCACAAGCAGGGATCACTTCATCCTATTAGTCGTTGCGAACACGATGGAGGCCTAGGGAAGACCTTTTTGAACATTAATGCCGCTTTCCTGGTATGCAGATACGTCAGTTGGCCGAACCCAAACTAAATGTGTAAAAAACGGCACGCCATCGAATACGGTAATTGGGAAATCGCAAGCAGACCGACGTCAGCGGCTGTTGTCTCCGAAAGGCATCTGAGTCCATCCTTTAGATTAGCATGTGCATGCCATCAGAGTCATAATATTAGTTGGTAAGGTGCACTGGAGCATATGCAGATTATCAACGCGTGACTAAAGAAAAAAGTGTGTGTAACAGATTACCAACAATTTGTGAAACTGCGTCTGTGTAATGATTATTAATTTTACTCGCTTCTTATTACCTGGGGCATTTGGGTTGGCCCTGGACGAACCCTTTGGTAAACTGAAGACGCTATTGACTGGATCATCATTAATATACTACATTAACTTTTAATTGATTAAGAAACCGTGATTAGTTATTCCATTAAGAAACTCACTTGGAATAACCAAAACATTAACCAGTACACCCGGTCCAAGCGAATGTTTGCCACGGTGCACAGCTCAGCAAGTCCAGCTGTCGAGGTGACCTTTTCAGAAAATGCGTTTCGTTTCGCTCGGAGTCTGAATTTCCTGTTGCGAGTGCCGTTTATGGTTCTTGCAGAGGAGAATGTCGCAGAGTAACTGAAAAATATAATAAATAACGGCTCGACCTAAAGTGGATAGCACGTATTACAAAATAAGCAAGTATACGATTACGTGAATATTTCATTGCAGATGCTGGAACCCAGGAGCGTGATTAATTTGGTTGATTACCTGAGCTTATGTGAGTGGGCTAATCATGAAATGGGCGCATGTATGAATTCCCTGCTGTCAGTGTACATAAATACACAACATCATGTGCACACATGTGCTGATCCTAATCATCCTATTGACAAATTCCTCAAGCCCTATTAATAGTTTCTGTGTTATCAGGCATACTTATGCGTTCTGGCTGAGTGAGTCACGAAAAAACTGATGTGTTTTAGACTCTTGCATATCGGTCCACAAAAGTCACGTACAATCAGGACATGCTAACGTGCACACAGTACTTTTTTATCTTGATCAGTACAGTTATCTGCGCTGCCACGACAAATTCATCGTCAATACACGAAAATTGTTATGATAAGAAGAACATGTCGGAAACAGACAATTCACGAGCGGTAATGTAATCTTATGTCATGTAGTGTTAAGGTAATTAACGAACAATGTATTTGTATTGTACAGAATGTTAAGGGTGCAGAGAGCTTTTTGTGAAAGACGATGGTGCAATAATAGTTATGTCAACTTTTAACTGAACATTATAATTATTCCAGCCACGATATGTAGTCGAATGGTGGGCTAGCGGTGTAAACTATACATCCAATTTGAGGTACCATACAGTTCATCTTGATATACAGTACCATCCTGTTTAATCGAATGGAGAAAAGCCCGAGAAAACCGGAATTTAATATTTTAGATTGTCCACGCAACCATACGTGTATTCTTTGAAGAACTTAGTCAGCACGAAATGCGATTGCTTGCCCAACATGACTGGCAGAGTGTGGTCAGTCTGCGCACCGGTTATGCCGGGCCTGCCGGCTGCAGGACCGTAATTTTAATTAATTATGTTAAAGGAGGTGACCGCATACGTATGCCTATTACATAATTATAACGCCACCATTAATCGACATAGCGCACAACTGCACATGCATGTACGCTTAGATACTACGTATATCGATAATGTGCAGTCTGTAGTTGTACTGCAGTGCATTCCGTCACGGTCGAAGTCAGAATGTTGAAAAAATCCCTCTATCAGCATTTCACGTCGCAACGGCTGCAATCCCATGAACTGTTTCACTCTATAGCAGCAAAATCAGTCTGTGATTTTACAAGTCCTTATGTGAAATGTCAGACGAAGACGCAATGATGCACCGCACTCGACCATTGAATTTCATTGTTGATGACTTGATGCGACCGGTGTTTATGCTTATATGTATTTCGGAATATACCTTATACGTATTTCGGAATATACCTATCCAGAATGCGATTCTACAGAAGCTGATCAAAGACAGTTTAAATTAGCGGTCTGTGGCGCTCAAAATTCATGAAAATCTGTTTACAGTTTTTCTGAAAGCAGTTTTTTTACAGTGTCTCTATCGTTCAGGCTTGCCGGTATTTTTTTATAACAGGACAAGTACTGCAGACACTTTTTGCTGAGAGGAGCAGCTAATCTGAATCGTTAAAATTATGCGGATTGGCTGATTGCATTAAAAAGGATTAAATTGATTCCATCGGCAACTCCAGTCAACACGTTATTTTTTGTCGATAAAACACTTCCGCTAATCAAGCAGGACAATCGCAACTAAACCGAGTGGTTACCAATTTTAGTATGCAGCGTTATCTTATTTTAAGTTACTGTTCTTACTTATTTATCAGTTTTTTACTTCTGCGATCTTGATTAAGAAAATTCGAACCGATTTACGCTGCTACTTTCACAAAGTTGAAAACTGTATATAATTCTACTAATTGTATAATTCACTATCGCAACCAAATACAATTCTATATCCTGATCAGTTCGTACTAATTATTGGTAGTGCCCCGATTAAAAACACACATATTTCCCGTTAAAAGGAACATTTTTGTACCCGTACAAAGCATGTCCGCAATACTAAAAATTGTCGATGAGCGGACAAATTTGTGTCGTACAGGACAAAAACGTGCCGATTTAAGGGGTATTGCGAATTACACGTATCACGTACGAACAAACGTACGAAAAAATGTGTCGAAAAACATACTCTTGACATAAAAACTATTAATAGGGAAGGGTAGAAAATTTTTTGCAAAGGGCACTTTTTCTGCGACGGAAACTGTTTCACAAGTATACATAAGCACCATTGTTAAGGGCAGGGAACAGGATGTATTCTACGCACAGACTATGCGAGCATAATCATTACTCTTCTAATCATTACCAGAAATATTGTCTGCGGGTGCCCATGATCTTTTCTCGTGGTAATGCGGTAGCATAACAATTTGGGAAATATTGTAATCCGTGACTATTCCGTGGTGTGATAATTAAGTTGGTTTTTTCTTTCAGTGCGCCTTTCACTGTGGTTGCTCAATTGTTCTTCCAGAATACCAAAGATGATGATACTATGTAATTTTGATAGAACACTTCGCAATCTGTTCTTGTCGCTAGAATTAACAAAAATAAAAAAGTTAAGGAACTAACAATAAAGAAATATGAGCTTTAGTAGCATATTTTAATCTTCGCGCTTATTGCTTGCAGTGTACTGCTATCTTTTATATGTTTTTGAATTGAAACATGGGTTGCAACAGAAAAAAAGTGTTTACAGAATACGTAACTGTGATTTTTTATTTGTGCATTAGTTTACTAACTTTATTTTAGGATTAAGGTGGCGGTGACTGCTCGGATTTTCCGCACTACAAACTCTATTATAATGAATTTGTCACATTGATTTTGAAAAAGTGTTCTACTGGTACAATCTTACAACTATTAGTGATTGTCGATCAACGTTGTATGGTTGCGCTTACAGACAAAGAACAAAAAATTTTTACATTCCGATAATTATCCACGTACATAATTTAAGCTAATCCGTTTTGGCAAAAACGTATACAGAATTTTCATATGAATGCTACATGCCAACTCAAAATTGCGAGAAAAGCAAAATACGCTGTCATATCTTAACGTACAGATACTGTATGTATCTCTGTGCTCACATGTCAGTTAAAAATAAGCTCTATTGCTTTGTAGCTGAACAAACTTGGTTCTTCTTCAAGATATTTGATGAATTTGCAAAAAATAAGCAGGCTGGAAACTCAAAATTAGACTAAAAACCGGGAGGTATCAGTCATGCAAAGCCTGGTGGTATATATGCCATGGCCACATGGTACGCCGCAGAATGAAATATGTCAGGGCAAATCAACCAGCCATCGTGTCCAATTAAGCGGCACTTTCCAACATCTTGTCGTGTTCGTTTTCCTCCTCTCTTTCCATCTCGTTCTCCACCATGCAGCTCGTACCATCCACAGCTTTAACTAGATCCTTCTGATCGGGTTTATCATCTTGACCTGACCGGAAGCGGCCGCATCATAGGCGCGGCTAATCCACACCGTGGTGCCCACGATGGCACCAAACGCCAAGGTCAACCCGGCCACCGAATGGGAGGTGTTGATGCCCATGTACAAAATTCCCAGTGTCTCCACCTGCCAGTCGGTCGGACTGAGGTGGCCCCAGTTCTGGTCTGGACCATGGCGATCACTTGATTAAAGAGGCCCGTGGGAGAAGAAGGGGTGCCGAAGAAGTCACTGAAGCCCACCAGAATGATTCCCAGAGGACAAACCATGCGTTTGACCATGTAAGACACGTAGTCTGGCTCTTCTGCTGGATTCCAGGTTCCGGCAGCCAGGCGGCGCGCCACAGCTTTGATCTTGATTCCCACAACCAGCAGCAGAAGCGGTACGAGGCAGTTGTACACGTGTAGCATGGCAAATGTCCAATATGGTAAAAAATATATTGCTAAAAAGGAACGAAACTTAAAATAAATCACAACAAATAAATCACAACACTTCAAATAAGTCATCGTCATAATATTAGTCATAATATCACTGCTGACAATGCGGAATGAAATTGTATACTCGTACTGCGTATTTGTATAAATTAGGTTATACATTTTATTGGCTGTACGTATACATTATCATAATTTTTATTCTTTTGAAGTGCTTATTTATATTTTAACTGCCTTATGTGAAATAAAGCGCTATTATTGGGTAGGTACAACAAGTATGTGAACTACGAGCACATACACGCTCACGTAGGTATATAACTATGTATAATTCTATAATTACATAAATATATTCGATTACAGAAGAGAATGAATCTAATTTTAATTGAGCCGACACCACAATTTATATGTATATTACTTACTTGCGATGGTCAAAACAGTTGTAAGTCCTCCACAGACCAATAAAGTCCATGCCACACTGCGCAACTCAAAGGATCCTGCCGGTGGTACGACCTTGGCCGGTGTTTTAAGGGTTTCAACGGATTTTTCGGACATACTCTTTTAGCTGATAGGCCGGAATAGCGGACAGTCGAATGCCGACTCTGTTAATACCGACAGATATTTATAAAATTGTGAAGTAGGTGAAAATCGTGTTGTTTTAAATGGGGAGACTTGTATTGAATAAATCGGATGCTCTGCCGATTATACTTGGCTATGTAATTACAAAGGTTATCGGAAGCCAGTAACTACAGAAAACTAAGCTCTGTTTAGATTATCAGGAGACGTTTACTGTTCTTCCCAGTTCCCTGCAAGTCACACTCTGAGTTTCTGACTGCGGAGGAAAGTACAACAGCAGCCTGGTTATATGCTCTTCTTAGGCTTAACTCAAGACCGTGACTATCTACCGTAGGACCTAGTCTTTCTTGTCAGTACTGGTAACACTGCATGTCAACTTTAAAGAATTCTTGCGCGGAAGCAACGGAGCCACCGTCACGAATCAGTCGATACTAAAATCAATACCGGCATAACACGTTTGACGTATGAGTTCTATCCACGCTAAAGGTCGCTATTCTACGCGGTATGTGGGTATTCTTCCAAGGTGACCATTCATCCCAGTCTTAAGCACAAGAAAATGCCGAACCTTCAATCTTATAATCCTTTTGAGGGGTTTGTGTTTCGATGCTCGCCTGCCTGGCTGCTGCCGACGTTAAAATTTTAAGACACCACAAGAAAACAATCGGCGTAAAGGGCAATTTTGAGACATCCGGGGGCATTAAAATTTATGGCTACTAAAGTATTACTCATTGCGCACTGCGCACCACTGACTCAAAAGATGTTCTAATTATTAGTATATAATAAAAGAATTCGCGAACGTGCAAGCCAAGAAATTTCCAGGTGCATAAAAATAGCCTAAAATTAATGACAATTAAAAGTATAGTTGCTTTTTTGCATGCAAAAGCAGACCATGAATAAAAAGAACAAAGAAAATCGATAAAACTATTTCCTTGATAAAATGCCGAATTGGACAAACTTCTACTTAGTTCTTCTAAGCATGGTAATGATGACATTGTTGAGGTGCAAAAGACCGGACTTGTAATGTGCTGCAAATCCATTATACGAGTACATATTATGTCCTGAGGGATCAAATTTTTCGCCCACACACATCCCACCGATACTACAGACGATAGTGTTATTATTCGAGTGCTAGGATAGGCTGTCATGATAGAAAGATATTACTACTTATCCTGATATATATTTTAGTGTTTGCAAAAAACCATTAGCCAATCTGTGTAAGGAGCCGGATTGACCGCTCAGCAGTAAATCGGCGCTTTGAAATTAAAGTGAGAATATGGATACAAGTATGTATTTGTGCATATTATGCATTTTTAAGGGCAACTGGCCAGTAACGATTTTATTGTAAAGCTGTTCTGACCATGCCCTCGTATTTTCTGGTGGCTCGCAGCCTGTGTTACGTATTCCCCATTCCCGATGGAAAAACTGTCTTTTCCAAAGAGCACTGTCTCAAGCACTAATGTTGTATGATTTCATCCGCTCCACCTAATGTTCTGCGTGCTGGCAATAAGGGCCGAATTATAGAATGCAGTTGCATCGTGATCACTGATCCACCCACTCAGTTATAAAAGACCCCTTTGATTAATAAGTCACCATGCGCGTCGGCATTTGGAGCGTTTCGCGGCAATGCGCACCATTGTTTACCAGGCACACGGCCATGGTGTCAGGTTAGAGATTTATAACTGGCTAACAATACTGACGTGCAGGAGCCGAATGTCGAATCGGCCCCGCCTATCGCGGTGCTCCAACAACGGATCTAGGTATGATATCCCGAAATTAAGTCAAGAACTTCCTCCGACTATGTCTTGCTATATTGTACCTGTGTGTACATTGTAATGGACTGTTCGATGTGCCTACGCGGTCGGCTATTCGAAAGCACGACCATAACATTTTTTAATAGTACTGCAGCACAAGGATAGACGGAAAGAATGTCTTGCTTTCCGTAACGCAGACGCATTTTACTGGGCAAACAGTATTTCGAGTTTTTTGCATGTTGTTAAACATTTTATTACTGATTTAAGATGTAATCAGCAAAGCCATACATAGCACTATTTAAGCTGTCTTCAAAATCTACAAATGGCGCCCGAAAAGAAAGACTGCGAGAAATGTACACTACTGCCCAACTCACCATCATTGCATGTCATACCAAAGGCTGGACTAGCCGAATTGCGCAGCGTGGCGTACGTTTGTTTAGCACTGGGCTCGTTGACCTTAGCACTGGTCATTCCAAGTATGGTAATTCTTGCTTTTCTTTAATTCATAGCACAATCTACAGTCATGTATAATACACCTACGAGTGAGCTAGATAAATGTTTCCCGTTTATGGTAGACTTGAGAACTAGCTAACTTAAAGCACCGTGTTGCACTAAATACAGACATTGACCTTTAGCGGCGTTCTTGCTGCCTTACCGGAAATACACCGCCGTCCATATGGCCACCTACGGCACAACCATCATGCAAGAAGACGGCCTCGCGTGCCCAGAAAGAAAGTCCTTCGACGATCCTGTCTGACCTGCAATTCTTTGTCCTGCAATGGAAGCTGTTCGCCTTCCTGTGGAATGTGGAAACAACTGGATTCGGTACGGTGCCTTATATTTTCAATCCCGCCGAGGTGCCATTCACGGAGGTCCTTCACCACATTCATAGCAAGGCATTTGGCGACCTAAATCCGACACAGAGCGAAATGGATGCTCTAGAACTGCTGTATCTCCTTATCAGTACGTGTTATACATTTGTGCACTTCGCGCTGGTTGTGGGATTCGTCATATCTACCACGATTTTGACTTGTCTGTCATGCCGCCTCCCACAATCGAATTTGCAACTGGAGGATGCTGTCCTTGCTGGAGAGGGGAGCGAAAAAGATAATAATATCGTTGTTGTGGAGGAAGCAGAAAAATATGATGATTTAGAGGGCGGCAATCACGAGAGAGCTGGTGTGTTCATGGAATCGCCTGTTTACTCTGTGCCTGTGCGTAGAGTAAGATTTCTAATTTCTGACTTTGTACTTTTGCTAACAATAAGGTATTACCTATGCGGCCTACATAATTTATATAATTCGCAGGGCTGCAGTAATGGCGCGCTTAAGTCCACAATAAATACTTAACTGCGTAATATTCCGCTGTTTGGGTATCTTAAAGACTGCTATTCGATCCAGAAAGTTTCTCACGTGCATCGGAATTTTCTTCTGGCCCTGACAGCACTTTTGGGATCGTTCGTTCCTCGCGAAGGAGTGAGCAGTTAAAAGAATTATGTATATATATTTAATACGATTTATTACTGTCATCTGTAAGCATGTGGCAAAATTGAATTTGTTTGAAGATGCAGTGCCGATGTTTGTTTGTTTGAAGCTGGAGTGAAATGTTTGGAATTCTTGCATGAGTATAAACTTAATGCTGAAATCGTTGAAGCCAAAGAATGAGAAATCACTGCGTTATTTATTGTCACTTGTAGCCTTATACATACGGTACTTTAAAAAGAAATGAATGCGTACTTGTGTATATTATAGTACAGTATAGCTACGCTTATGTACAAGTGCTTGCTTATTGCTCTAACTGTAAACTCTAATAAATAATAGGTATATCGTGATATGGACGGTACTTACCGGTATGTCCATACAGCCCATACTTACAGTACCGGTACGTATGTCCAGACAGACATCCGGTATGCTGCACCATCCAATTGATCATCCAACAAAATGCGTTGAATGATCAATTTAGGACCAGCTGGAAAAATATCCCTTTTTTACATAATCCCTCTGCGGATCAAGAAGCCAAGCTAATAAAAATGTGGTCGTAATAATTATTTATCGTTAGAAAAGTTACCAAAGGTATACAACTATAAGGAAAAACGCCCGTGCATACACGGGCGTCCAAGCTGTGCTTTACTACAGGTTGGCTTACATTTTGCTTCCGGTTCCGGTTCCAATACTACAGTTCCCTTGCCTTTTGGTAATGGAAACCACAATCATCACCTCATCTCGAACACTTTGGATAAGTGCATACCATACAGAGATTTTCCAAGTATGCGCTTAAATAATATTTCCCTAACAGCTATAGTGTAAATACAGTACCGTACTTTCATAACCACTGGAACGAAAGTGGCTTTATGCGCATCCACTAACTTTTCTGTATTGTAGTACGACCGTGCAGCTATGCCAGTGCACGCACTGTCGTTCATGTTTTAATACGATTGCGCGAGTATGTACGAAAGAACCGTAGTAAAGAGGCTAATGGTAAGGACCAGTGGATCTCCGCTATCAGATCCTGATCTGGATGCACATTTTGGGAAGGACTTTTCTTTCGTGTCTGTAGTTGCCACGTACAACAACTGTTATTCTCCAGTTTAACAACTTAAAATTGTACTTTACGGTGTTTTATCGCCGTTTGAACTCCTAAGAGCTCTTCTGGAACATCTCTTGGATATTGTCTCTATGGGATGAATTAAGGTGATCGCTGTCCTGAAGCTGTTTACGGATGGATTCCGATCGGAGTTCAGATGAAGAGGGGAATCCCCCTCCTGCGAAGGGTTCTTCCCGACCCCAGCCGGCCGGAATTGACATGAATGCGTATTATGCTGCTTATCAGCAGCAGATGCGCCAACAGCAGCAACGCAGCAGTCGTAGCAGTGCCAGCGCCAGTGCGACGTCATCTGATTATTACGCTGGAGCCTCTGCGGACGGTTCGGGTTTGTTTGGGAGCGCGGGGCCAGGAGTGGCTGGCAGTCGCCAAGCAGAACTCATGGGGTAAGAATCGTATGATTCGCAAGAGCTGCTTTGTGCATTGTGAAACGCACTTTGTAACTCACTGATCTAATTGTTAAATCCTTTTGAAAATTAGTTTGTTGCCTAATGAAGCATACTTACGCGTTATGTTAGTTCAGCACTTGTTTATACTACTTTGTACATCTAGATTAATACATTTTATTCACTAGTATACGAGTACCTTTTTTAATTATAACTGCCAATACCGCCATTGATACTTTCACTAAAGCAACGTCTGCAAAGATAATGTTTTTCGTCATGATTGGAAACTAAAACTTTGCAATATCTTGATTATGGACTGAGATGGAATGGAAATGCTCATAGGATTAGGACGGGATGCTCATAGGATTAGGATAGGTTAGGACGGGATTAGGACGGGATAGGATGAACTATTTACGGAACGGAGATACACAGAATTACGGATTTTTATTATTTCATGACGATAAACAATGTCACAATTTTACGTTTGCGTCAGTACTTGCGTATTAACGAAAGCACCACACACTCAGCCTGTTCTGTGTGCATTGTTGCATGGTATCTGTTTGTCTGTGGACGCTAACGCTGTGTTTTGTGTAGCGAAATCAACGCAGCCGGGCGGGAGACCAAGCCGACGACGACGAGGATGATGATGGCGGCTACAATCTGTCCGCTCGTGCCAACAGCATGAACCTGCATCCGTACCGATCGCAGGACACTGATTCGCCGAGTGCATCGGCCGCTGTCACGGACGACGGTGAGGAAGAAGAAGAACCGGAACCTGCCGCTGCTCCTGCGGCCAAGAAAAAGAACGCACCCAAGAAGAAGAGCAGTAAAAAAAGTAAGAAAAGCAGCAAAAAGAGCAAGCCGAAAGTGGAGAAGCCATCAGTGGCTGCTGAAGAGGAATCTGTGGAGGAGCCCGTCTTGGAGGGAACCGATGCGACCAAGCAGAAAGCAAGCCGCAGTAGTTTACGTCGGAAAAAAGACAGTGCCGACCTCGCTGTATCGAGCGTTCTATCGGTAGGTTGTACTGGCATATTGGTCTACTGTTCTTATTTTTTAATCGCAGCGATGCATTTTACAGCCGTCCGATAAAATTTGTGCTGACAATAACCTAAGGAACATCGAGATCAAATACACAGACGAAAATTATCGGACGTTAACCAATTATAAAGAATTCAGCGAGTATATGCGACCGCTCTTAATGTCGGCCAACGAAAATGCCCCGATGGCCAAGATTCTGGCACTGGTTGGCGCTCACTGGCGGGAATTTCTGGATAAGCATCCCTTTCCGGAAACTGTGCGGAAAATGTCCAAACACCCGACGGTATCCGAAAGTACGTAACGATATTTGTGATAGAATTAATTATCTGCATTATACGGTATTCTTTATGAAACAGGCACAAAAGAGTTGATTCAGATTTTATAAAAAATTCTCCCCTTCTTTGTGCTTGTGAATGGCAATGAGCGATTTTTAAGAGCGTGTTGTATACATCAGGCGCGGCATCCATTGATCAGGAAGATGCATCGCCGCCTGGCAGCAAATCGAAGAAACCAAAACGCAGCACAGTCTCCAGCAAATCCAAGGGAGGCAGTAGCAGCAAACCGAAATCCAAGCGCAAACGAGGAGGCTCGGATGAAGATGGGCGTGATGATCGGAATTCCGATGAGGAATTCGAGAAGATGCTGGAAGAAGCCGATGATATCTACAAGCAGGAAATGGCCTCCAAACAGTCGTTCAGCCGGAAACGGTCGGTGGCTGCCCGTGGAACACCGCCGAGCAGCTCCGCTCCCAGTAAGAAAAAGGTGAAGAAAGCCGCTCCGGCCAAAAAGGCTGTCAAGAAGCCCGATGTGGAGATGGAAAATCAGGACTACTGCGAAGTGTGTGGGGCCGGCGGGGAGATTATTCTGTGCGATACCTGTCCAAAGGCTTACCATTTGGTCTGTTTAGATCCAGAACTGGAAGAGGCTCCAGAAGGTAAGCATTCTCGTCGGTGTTAGCAGCAGTAGCCAGTATGGACTGACGCCAGTCGATTATTTAATTGATTTTCGCAAGGAGTAAACAAAGCAGGTTTTCCATTTGAATGTAAGTGTTAAGTGAGACAAGAGGGCGGAAGAGATCAAGTTTATGCACACGTAACGCTACTTTCACCGAACCGGCTGCAGTAAGCGTCAGCACATCATGCACCGGTGCCCACTAGCCAACAACTGCGCCCTTTTCACCAACGTTCTGTTTGTGCATACAGATTGCATATAGCTATGCAGTTATTGCAGTATGCAGCATGAAACAAGTCGGCATAGGGAATATATAGGGGGATGAATAGTCTAAGATAGTGGGCAGCCGGCAGTAACCGTGTGTCTAGGAAGGGTACTCACATTCTTTTGGTTGTGCCTCCTGGATAGCTGCTTTGCGGAAATCAACAAACGCTTTAATTATGTGTGTACAGAAGTGATGTAGTGCAGTAGTTGTGTGCGAGCAGTGGTGCATATGGATTTTATGGATAGGCTTATAACAATATGGATCTTTCCGATCCAGACAACGGCTGTTCACCTTTGCACACGACTATTAGATTTTTTGACGTCATAAGCCTTTCTTTCATTTGAATTGACTGCTTTAAAAATACGTATATTTTGTGACAGAGTATATATATATATATGTAAAGTGCATATGGTTGTGTATTAATAATAACCGTAGATTCCAAAGCCGACCCAAACACGATTACAGAACCCCGAACTTGGGATATGGGATACTGGGATATTAAAATGTACTTTGTGTAGAAGTATATATATACTCGTATAAATAATATCAATTATTTTAATATACGTTAGTAGAACTCCTTGCGCACATAAATAAATTTACGTACAGTGAACTCAGTACACTTCTTTCTTTGTATTATTTTATCTTTTTGTACAGACGAAACTTTCATTCATCCTACCTTTCATAGTATTATGTCAGAGCGATAGGATCTCATTTAATACGTTTTGTAACTATATTTAATCGTTTGTTGATAACGAATTTATCACTAGTAATGATAATGGTGAACAGAGGTTCGCCTATGCCCGGTAGTTCGTCAACTCGAATTGGTTATGGTCGCATCGCGTTACTGTTCAAATAGAAACATTTCAATCCTTATTGTATGAAACCATACATATCTCTGCATATTGTTAAATTTTAAACTTGTGATTACAGTAATTCTTCCCACGAATAGTATGATCGGTGTTTGATTCACCATCAGACTGATTGTTGGCCCACCAAACCATTGCGCAGGGCCGAAATCTATGGCAGCTCCGCTGTTTGGGGGCTTAACTATTTAGGATATGGTGATTAAGCGCATTTACAATCTCAACATGCGTTTGGTATTAACAGGAAAATGGAGCTGTCCGCAGTGTCAGCAAGACGGTATCAATGGTGGCGGAAAAGCAGAAGAGGACAAGGAGGAGGAAGAGGAGGACGTGGACGCTCCGCCTGCCGGTGAACGCAGCGAACGGAGCATTGAAAATATGGAGTACTGTCGTGTGCTTTGATGGCGGCGAGCTGCTGTTATGCGACGGTGCCCATCCGCATTCCATGTGGACTGCCT